CTACAAGGCAGGCTTAAGCAGTATGTGGACCGAGAACTCCCAGAAGTGCAAGCTGGATTTCGAAGAGGCAGAGGAACCAGAGACCAAATTGCAAACATGCGCTGGATTATGGAGAAAGCTAGAGAGTTCCAGAAAGACATCTACTTCTGCTTCATTGACTATGCAAAAGCCTTTGACTGTGTTAACCACAGCAAACTATGGCAAGTTCTTAAAGAAATGGGAGTGCCTGATCACCTCATCTGTCTCCTGAGAAATCTCTATGTGGGACAAGAAGCTACAGTCAGAACTGGATATGGAACAACTGATTGGTTCAGAATTGGGAAAGGAGTACGACAAGGCTGTATATTGTCCCCTTGCTTATTTAACTTATATGCAGAATTCATCATGCGAAAGGCTGGGTTGGATGAATCCCAAGCCGGAATTAAGATCGCCGGGAGAAATATCAACAACCTCAGATATGCAGATGACACAACCTTGATGGCAGAAAGTGAGGAGGAATTAAAGAACCTTTTAATGAGGGTGAAAGAGGAGAGCGCAAAATATGGTCTGAAGCTCAACATCAAAAAAACAAAGATCATGGCCACTGGTCCCATCACCTCCTGGCAAATAGAAGGGGAAGAAATGGAGGCAGTGAGAGATTTTATTTTCTTGGGCTCCATGATCACTGCAGATGGTGACAGCAGTCACGAAATTAAAAGACGCCTGCTCCTTGGGAGAAAGGCGATGGCAAATCTAGACAACATCTTAAAAAGTAGAGACATCACCTTACCAACAAAGGTCCGTATAGTTAAAGCCATGGTTTTCCCAGTAGTGATGTATGGAAGTGAGAGCTGGACCATAAAGAAGGCTGATCGCCGAAGAATGGATGCTTTTGAATTATGGTGCTGGAGAAGACTCTTGAGAGTCCCATGGACTGCAAGAAGATCAAACGCATACATTCTTAAGGAAATCAGACCTGAGTGCTCACTGGAAGGACAGATAGTGAAGTTGAGGCTCCAATACTTTGGCCACCTCATGAGAAGAGAAGACTCCCTGGAAAAGACCCTGATGTTGCGAAAGATGGAGGGCACAAGGAGAAGGGGACGACAGAGGATGAGATGGATGGATAGTGTTCTCGAAGCTACAAACATGAGCCTGACCAAACTGCGGGAGGCAGTGGAAGACAGGAGTGCCTGGCATGCTCTGGTCCATGGGGTCACGAAGAGTCGGACACGACTAAACGACTAAACAACAACAACAACAATCATATCTCCTCTCAGTCTCCTCTTTTCCAGGCTAAACATACCCAGCCTTATGATTAAATGATTTTAATGTATTGCTAGACGGCTAAACTCAAGATCTATGATTAAAGGAAGTTCTTTTTGGAATTATAAACTCAACGTTTTCACCCCTAGCCATGAATATATCATAACGAGATAGAGGCACCCATTTCTAAGCAACCTTGAAAGCCATTGTCTTAACTCAGTATATTTATTAATGAACGCTTTTTATAAAGTAGTCCCAGGTCGCCGAAAGTCGTCATTATGACAGATAAAGTTATTTCTTTTGGACTGCGAGTTTCTAATGCTGGAATCCTAATGACTCCATCAAAGGCATTATTCTGAGACCATTTCCCCCAATTATCTCCCAGTTATAATGGTCTGCCACCAGTGAAACATTACTGACAGCTCCGAAGCAGCACAAAGCCCAAGTCTCAAATATTCCTTTTGCTTCATATTTCGCCAGGATCACTGGAGAAAATAATTGCTTTTGTTCAAGGAGGATAAAATAACTTTCCCTTAGATTCCCCTTTAACCCTGGGGAAATCTCTTCTTCCCTCCAGCTAAGGAGGTAATATAGTTTAGTCGTCCCTCCACCTCTGTCCACAAGCAATGCCAACAGAGTTCAATGTATGACAAAGCAAACACAGCTTGGCGGGATCAGTGCTTGCCATGGAACTCTTTAAGAAGATGAAGTCAGTGCAAGCAATCCTTACAATTTCATAGTTACTTGATTGTATCCATTTGGAAAGCCATTTGGCTCAGAGGCTCTGCTCTGCATCCACCCATTGCCAGCACAGGAGGCCAAAGGCTTCAGATATTTTCTGGGGATCACAGGAGGTCATTCAGTATATAGGATGCAGACAGGTCTTTGCATCCATGTGTGGGAAGCAATAGATTTTGAACAAGGGCTATAGCTTAGTGGTAGGGGTGCGGGTGGTGCTGTGGGTTAAACCACAGAGCCTAGGACTTGCCGATCAGGTCGGCGGTTTGAATCCCCGCAAAGGGGTGAGCTCCCGTTGCTCAGTCCCTGCTCCTGCCAACCTAGCAGTTTGAAGCACGTCAAAGTGCAAGTAGATAAATAGGTACCGCTCCGGCGGGAAGGTAAATGGCGTTTCCATGCGCTGCTCTGGTTCGCCAGAAGCGGCTTAGTCATGCTGGCCAATGACCCGCAAGCTGTATGCTGGCTCCCTCGGCCAATAAAGCGAGATGAGTGCCGCAACCCCAGAGTGGGCCACGACTGGACCTAATGGTCAGGGGTCCCTTTACCTTTACCTATAGCTTAGTGGTAGAGTAAATTCCTGTATTTAAAAGGTCCTGGGCTGGCTTCAAGTTCATTTCTAGACCCAATTCAATGTGCTCACTTTAATGTTTAAATCCCTGAATGACTCAAACCCCAAATATCTGAAGGACCACCTCCTTCCCTATGGAGCACCACCATGAAAATTCATCAGGATTTTAGTGCAAATGCTCCTAATATTGTATGCAATATTGCCTAAATATACTCATTTCTGCAAAACAATTTCCCCCAATACAATGCATGTCTATATGCTATTTTCAGTAATATACGCATTTGTATGTGCAATTTTCTCTAATATATGTATTTTCTACGCATGTGGCTGGAGAACTGCACTGCGAAAATTGGAGAAGAGCACATTTCAAAGGGCGGCTATGCTTCGCTTTGCAAAATGTTAATTCGGTAGGTTTACCTTGAAATGCAAACAGAATTGAATTAATCCCCCATCCCTATATAATGAGGATCTCTCTTGCAGCCTCTGTGTAAGAAGCAAACCTGGCCCAGGTGGCTCTGATTTCCAGAAAGCAGCTGACTATTTTCTTCAGACTCTTGTATTTCTTCAGGGAAAACACAATAACCTGAACTCTGGTGTACTGAGATTGTTGTAGCAGATGAATGTTGGGAATGGGAAGACAGAATTTTGGGTGCCAGATGGGCAGGTGGCAGACTGCTGCGCAGGACAGGATGTTGGCAAGACATTTTGGCTTGCAAGAGAATAGTAACAGGTTTGCAGTATCAAGAAGGAAGAGGCACAAAACTATTGGTAAGGTTTTGGTGAGTCAGTGGTTGATAAACTTGTGATTACTAGAGCAGAATTGAAGGATGAAGATAGAAATATAGTGCAAGACAGGAAGGGAAAAATGCTTTTGAAAAATGCAAGCACACAGATGCAAGTTGCAGGGGGGGCATAGCTAAGTTGTAGAACATCTGCCTTGTACACAGGAAGGTTCTGGGTTCAATTCCTGGCATTTCCAGGTAGTGTGGGAATGGCTCCTATCTGAAACAAGTACTGCTGCTGCCAGTCACTGTAGACCAGGCATGGCCAAACTTGGTCCTCCAGCTGTTTTGGGACTACAATTCCCATCATCCCTGACTACTGGTCCTGTTAGCTAGGTATGATGGGAGTTGTAGTCCCAAAACAGCTGGAGGACCAAGTTTGGCCATGCCTGCTGTAGACAATCTTTAGTAACGTGGACCAGCTTTCTGACTCAGTGTAGAGCAGTTCCCTATGTTTCTAAATGTAAGTGGAAAAACCAGGCACTCCATAAGCCTTCTGCATATTTTCTGATGTGATGAAAACTCTTATGCCAGACAGATAGTCACCTCTTTGGGTTGGCATGCCTTTAATATCTGAATATAGCAGCCATCAGGTTCTTGGCTCCAAAGTGAATGTAATAAATGAATAAATGATAAAAGAAATTTTAAAAAAACCTGCAAAGTACTTCAGATACCAGACTTCTCATGCAGGCAACCAAGAGAAGCCTGATACGGACATATGGGCTTTCTATGGGAGGCCATGCAATGTTTAAAAAGGAGCAACAAGTGTCATGATTGCTACATGAGACATTTTAGTAGGTAATACTGATCGCCGCAGATCTTCCTCTAAGACAGACAGAGGTGGCGAAGGGGATCCAGCTAGAAGGCAGGATCCTTATCTCCCCCACCTCTCATGGGCCAAGTTTGATAGATAAGGAGCTACAATCACCTGACATCACAATGATCCCTTTTTTTTGTCCATTCGGACAATCAGCTGATCACTGTGGCTTGAAAAGTACAAATCTGCCTTGGCCCAAGCACATCTTTAGCTACCCCACACCTGGTGTCCTAGGGGAGGTGGCTGTGGTTTGGTGAAAACGGTCTGACATGTCAAATGGGGAAGCCTGGAAGATGTAATGAGGCTCATCACTCCTGCCGTAAGATGTCATTCTGGTTATTTATCTTCTTCCTAATCAGCTAGCTGCCTTGTTCCACGGGTCTGGATGTTTAATCACCAGCTCTGGTCAGGAGATCTGACCTATGAGGAAGGGAATGCTCTAGCACAGACCCATAGTAATGTTAAGAACTGGTCCTTGAGCTAGCTTTGTCCTCCTCCCTTTCATTTTTCCTCATGTACCAGAGACTCTCTTAGAACTGATTTTTGAAAGCTGCTCTGAGAACCTTTTTTGGGGTGGGGGGTGGGGTAGGGTAGAGGGAAGGGTAGAAATAAACCAGGAGCTCACTCGTTTTCAGCCTTTCCGTCAAATAATTTCTAAAGCACAATTGTTGCTCTGCCCTCATGCCCCCAGTTAGGAGCTGACGGATTGGTTTCGGTGCTGTCAAAACTGTGTATTCTGTGATTAATTCTGATTGAGCTGTGCTTTGAGATTGTCAGCTCCAACCAGAAGGTAAGAGAAGAAAAGATTTGAGGGCTGAAAGCCTCAAGATACTAGAAGCTGCATGCTTACGTGATAGGATGCTCTTTCTTCTCTGTCCATCGGACGGGTCACGTACATTCTCCCAGACACAGGGTCAATGTTGAAGACTTCCATAGGTGGCTGGTCAGCTCCCACGCCAGTGATGCTGTATCTTATGTGGATCTCGCTGTCCTTATCCGAACGTATCTGAATAAAACATGAAAGGGAACCATGAGAGAGCGTGGAATGCAAGGCAGGTGGGAAAGAAAGTTCATGGTGCCATGCACACAAAGACACACAAAGCTTTCAAGAGTAGAGAAAAATAGCCTATTATTCTACACACATGTGGATTTAGGCAGGGGACAACTCAGCAACCTGTTCACAAAAGACCAAGGAGATGCTTGTTTTAGGAATCTTCCCAACATCTTCTGTGACACAATGCACGCTGTGTGCTTACACATTTCAGCCATGTGCGGACCCTGTGTTATTTATCCAAGCCCCTGAGATCACAAACAATTTCTGTGAGATCCACAAGCCACTGGTTCATGGGTCCCATGGCTTGCATCAGTAATAGTGCCCAGTGGATTCCAGAAAGGCAAATGGGAATTTGGGAAACAAAAGATGCAGTCACTGCCAGACTGGTCTGTTTTAACAATCTGTGAAAATGCACATACACAATCTTTTTATCTGATCAAAATATTTGCATGTCGCCTGCCCTACAGCCATATTATCAGGGCAGCTTGCAACACAGAAAGAAGCAAATTAAATATGCATACAATAAATCAATAAAACCTGTGAAAGCAGCATATCACTAAACCATAATACAGATATATATATATATAAAGAAGAGGCAGATTATGAGACTTGGGAAAATAAAAATGACATCAAGGTAGATGCTGGATAAGCCTCTCTGGAACAGGCATTCCACTGCTGGAGTGTGACTACTGAAAAGGACCATTTTTTTAAAGGATCTGCTGCACATCACATGGAAGGTGCACCCAGAGAAGATGGAGCCATTCAGAAAATAACACAGTTTCCCTTCTCTTCTCCATTGCACAAAATTGCTATCAGCCCTGATTTGTCAGAAACAGTATGCTTCTGAGTTCCAGCTGGTAGAAATTGGAGAGGGGAGAGTCCTGTTTGGCTCATGTCTTGCTTGTGGTCTTCTCACGGGCAACCATCTGGTTGGCCACTGTGAGAATGCAGGATGCTGAACAGGACAGGCCAATTCTGAGCACAATTCCAAGTGTTGGTATGGACTTACAAAGCCTTAAACGGCCTCGGCCCTGTATACCCAAAGGAGCATCTCCACCTCCATCATGCAGCCTGGACACTGAAGTCCAGTTCTGAGGGCCTTTTGGTGGTTCTCTCACTGTGAGACCTGAAGCTACTGGGAACTAGGCAGAGGGCCTTCTCAGTAGTGTTGCTCACCCTGTGAAATGCCCTCCCATCATACGTCAAACAGATAAAACAAATATTTGACATCTTGAAGGCAGCCCTGTTCAGGCAAGTTTTTAATGGTTGATGTTTTACTGTGTTCTTTATATTTTTTTGGAAGCTGCCCAAAGTGGCTGGGGCAACTCAGTCAGGTGGGCGGCATATCATCATCATCATCATCATCATCATCCAGGAGGGCTCCTCTTATATTCTTAAAATAGATTTTTACCAGCAGAGAAGTTAATACTAGATGAAGCACTGACACAAACTGATAGATGGCTTTGACTCAGGGTAAGAAAGAGGAGAAGCATCACTCACCATAAAAAGAGGACATACTGTATGAAGATACAGTGGTACCTCGGGTTATAGACGCTTCAGGTTACAGACGCTTCAGGTTACAGACTCTGCTAACCCAGAAATAGTACCTCGGGTTAAGATCTTTGCTACAGGATGAGAACAGAAATCGCACGGCGGTGGCGCGGAAGGCCCCATTAGCTAAAGTGGTGCTTCAGGTTAAGAACAGTTTCAGGTTGAGAACGGACCTCCAGAACGAATTAAGTTCTTAACCCGAGGTACCACTGTGTGGGTTTGTTTAAAATGTGCCTATCCTAATTTATCTGTATAGGTTCAGATTTAGAAATTACTTTTGTTCTTTAAATGCAATATGTTTCGCCATTGTCTGCTGTGTCCAGGCAGCATAAAGACCTTGTGTGCAGTGGGACCGTCCCTCAAACAGGGGACCCCCTTCAAACAGCGGTTTCTCCTGTGTAAAGTAGGCCATATTGCTACCCTGTTTCGACTGCGCTTGCAGTTCACCAAAAGTCAGTTTCAAGGCCACCTCTGCCACCCCATCATGCATATTTTCCCAAGGAAAATAAAAGCAAATAAACAACAAGCTCTGCAAAGATAATTTCATTCACGTTTCCAGCCACCAGATACAAGACAGTAAGTAGGCCGGTTGAGACGTAACTGTGGCAACCTTGACCTGTTATCGCTCTGCAATCTGAAGTTAATTTTCTGATCAGCAATGTAAAGGAGTTCTTGTAAGATCAGGACTATTTCTGAAAGGGGTAAGAGAGGTACAAGGTACAAGGGAGAAACAAACCATCTTGACACCCCTCTCAGCTTCAGAAAACAGTCTGATGAGTATCGTGGTGACAAGCAAATGCTCTCTTTGACATCCCCCCCGCCCAGATTTATGAAAGAAAGAATGTGGAGGGGTGGGGAAATGTGGGTGGAGAGAGAGAGAGAGAGATAATAGAAGCCCACTTGACAGCAAAAGAAGATTGAAACTTCACATCTCGATGGCAGCCACTTTTCGGGGTGAGTCGGGATGTGCTGATGAAGATGCACATCCATGTGCAACAGGCACTGATGGGAAGTTTTGTTTCTGCACATGACTCTGGCAAACCGCTCTAAGCTGAAGCATTCCTTCCTCAACCACCCTAGAATGTTTAGTTCACATTGAGTTCATGAAACATCGTACCCTGACCTGTTCTTAATGCATGGTTGACCACATCTACGGAATGCGATGGTTATGCTCTTTTAAGCTTTGCTATATCAATCACTAGTAATAGTTTAATAAGGAGGTTTTCATTCCTGTCCAACTCTGTGTTCCCTTTCCCAACCTTTAATCTATTGATGATTAATGCCTATATGCAACCCTTGCATTGTATTTGTGTTAACCAATCAGCAACAAGCACATATGTGGCAATGCTGTAATATTCAATAAAAGGGACTCCCCGAGACATGCTCGAGAGATGCCTCCCATATGACACTTGTCATTCGTCTGTCGTTTATTTCAACCCAACAAGGCAAAAAGGAGATGGCTATGTTAATAAATACTGTATTTTTTGCTCTATAAGATGCACCAGACCACAAGACGCATCTAGTTCTTGGAGGAGGAAAACAAGAAAAAAAATATATTCTGAATCCCAGAAGCCAGAACAGCAAGAGGGATCACTGTGCAGCGAAAGCAGCGATCCCTCTTGCTGTTCTGGCTTCTGGGATAGCTGCGCAGCCTGCATTTGCTCCATAAGACGCACACACATTCCCCCTTAATTTTTAGGAGAGAAAAAGTGAGTCTTGTAGAGCAAAAAATACGGTAAATAAATAAAAGAGCAAGCAAGCAGGCAGGGAAACAGATAAGTTCTGCTCTGGCTGAATGGAGGCAGCTATGCAGGTAGCGATGGCAGGAACATTTTGTCCTTCAGAGCAGAGGTAAGTCAAGGAAGGGATGTAGGATTCCTGCTCTCCCTCACTGGTGTCTTTTAACTTCAAAAGCTATCAATCATTCTTTACAAGTCGGGTGTCAACTGATCAACATATTTTCTAAAAAATTGTGTTGTTCTCAGTGTCTCCTAAAGACTTCATTTATTTAGGCAAGCCTAGCCGGATGTGTAACGTTAAGATGTTATTTTATTTTATTATCCGTATTTTAAACAACTGCTGATTTTACTCACAATTTTTAGGTTAACTTGCTTTTTATAAATTATTTCTTAATGAGCGCTTTGTACACTATGTAAACAGCTTAGAGGTTATGGATGATTAAGCGTTATAGAAATCCTGCTAAATAAATAAAAATAAATCATATCATTTGCCTTTTAACTAATTAATCAATTGGTGAGAGTGGATGCTACCCAAACCTCAGTAGAAGAGTTTTTATGAGATACTGAAGGATTTTTAAGATAACTTTCAGCTTAATAAACATGAGCTTCCATTCATTGTTCTAAGAAAGAGCATCTCTCATATTTTGTTTGTCATTTCCCACTGTAGTCTCACACCAGGAATAAAACAGTTCCAGTAATTAAGAACTGTGCTCTCAAATCATCACCCCATTGATTAAGGGCCCCCGTGATTCATTAACTAAAACTTAGCTGATTGATCTACTGATTAAACCACTTGAATCTTGCAACCTTTGTTATTTATTAATTACACCTGTACCACACTCTTTCTCAGAAGACCCCTAAGGGCCAAGCCGTATTTAAGAATAACTGGCATAGGGTAGGAGTTCAGACCAAGGTGGCGGCAGGGCTTTCATCCTTTACCCCACTGCAGTCCCAATTGGAAAGGCTTCTCCCTGTGCCAGTTATTTGCAATGGGAGGAAAGCATCCATTAGACAGACAAAAGAAATAACTTCTTCACACAGTGCATAATTAAACTAGGGAACTTGCCTTCACAAGAGGTGGTAGTGGCCACCAACTTAAAGGTAAAGGGACCCCTGACCATTAGGTCCAGTCGTGGTCAACTCTGAGGTTGCGGCGCTCATCTCGCTTTATTGGCTGAGAGAGCCGACGTACAGCTTCTGGGTCATGTGGCCAGCATGACTAAGCCGCTTCTTGCGAACCGGAGCAGCGCATAGAAACGCCATTTACCTTCCCGCCGGAGCGGTACCTATTTATCTACTTGCACTTTGATGTGCTTCAAACTGCTAGGTTGGCAGGAGCAGGGACCGAGCAATGGGAGCTCATCCCATTGCGGGGATTCGAACCACCGACCTTCTGATTGGCAAGTCCTAGGCTCTATGGTTTAACCCACAGCGCCACCCTTATGGCCACCAACTTGGATGGCTGTAAAGGGGGTTAGGCCAATTCATAGAGGATAAGTCTATGGATGGCTACTAGCAACCCTTTTTTTTTATAAAGATATTTATTGGCATTTTCACAAATTTTATAAAACATAAAAATCACAAAAAACACAAAAAGAAAAACAAAAATACATACAAAAAAGCAAAAAACCACATGTATAACTTCATTCCCTTATGTTCATG